GCACTTTCCCAGTGATGTGTTATCTCATCAAGGCTGTGATTGCACTTACATCACAGCTCTGGCACTGAATGCTTTGTCTCATTATAGACAAACAGTCATGGGTTTCCCTTTCTTTGTCCTTTATTCCTGAGTCAGCCTTCCCATAATTTCCCTGGTGTAACCAGAGATGAGAGCTTCTGGTTGAGAGCTCTGGTTGAACTCTGGTGTGAGCTCTGGTGTGAACCAGAGCTTCACACATAGTTCATATTATACTTGTCTTTGTAGCCAATTTACAATGAATTCCACAGAGGTTTAAGTAAGCCCATTTGCTGCATGGTACTAGGAACTGGATATTTGGGTAACTGGTTGTGAAAAGATAAATGATCCTCTTACTCTCCTTAAGTGCCCTATTGCTAAAGCACTACTCAAGGAAAAGTTTTTAAAATGTTCAATATAATTATCCTGTTTTAGAGCATTAGTCTTCCTCCCTCCCCCCTTTATAATTGTAGTTTTACAAGAAATTAGCTACCTCTGATTTTGGCTAGTCTAACAGGCTGCAGCTACATTGGTTAAAAATACTTCCAATGTCAGAGCTCTCCCACCCACTGCATATTTTTGGGAGCATATTTCTTTTTTGGGTTGCCAGCAGAATATGAAAATTCCTTATACACCCTGTGCTTCCTGCACTGCTTCTGAAGTGTTCCTTTCTTCAGCAGTCTTAATGCAAACACAGGAGAGAAAATGGTTTTCCTGTTCTCTCCTATCAGTGCTTGGCTCCTCTCATATAATGAGTACTTTATAGTACAGAAGACGTTTATAGACATAGGTAGAACTGCTGGGGCTCCTTTTTAAAACATAGTACAAACTGGGAAAAAGCTGGCTTCTCTTCTTCCTTCCCTTCTTGACCTGTTCTTCCCCATCCCCCCCCCAAAAAAACCCCAAACCCACCATACTAATTTTTAAAAATTTGAATATTTTATTTTTTCCCCAATTACACGTAAAGATAATTTTTAATATTTACTTTTAAAAAAGTTTGAGTTCCAAATTTTCTTCCTCCCTTCCTCACCTCCCTGCTTGCTAAGATGGTAAGCAGTTTTTGATGTTATATATGTACAATTATGTAAAACATTTCCACATTAGTCATGTTGTGCAAGAAGAAACAGATTTTAAAAAACCACGAAAAAATAAAGTGAAAAATAGTATGCTGGGTTCAGATTTTATTGGTTCATTCTCTGGATGTGGATAGCATTTTTCATCATGAGTCCTTCACCATACTCATTTCTAGAGTCAGAGACATTTAAGCTCATAGCACTTTCGTAATTTGAGAGAAAACTTTTAAGTGTTTCTTTTTTTTTCTTTTAAATCTTATTCTTTGCTGCTTAGATCCCCTTTTTCATTAGCACCTGACAAAGAAATGGGACTTAATGGGCATATTGTAGCCTGTGGAAGAGCATGGCATATTGTAGTGGTTTCCATTTAGTGGTTTATGGGGATGGTCCAAGGGGTTCTATGCTGAACATTCTTTAATGGTACCTTAAACAGTAAACAATTGCCCATTTATGTTACAAATATATTTTTCCTTTGTGTTAACATGTGCATGTTTGAAGCATTGTTAAGTCTGTCATTTTTTGTTTCTTTTAGCCCAGCCTTCCTTGTGAAAGGCGGAGCTATGACTAATGTCTTAATTTCTTTGAAAAGTTCCCAAGCACGTTGCCAGATAGGGGCAGCAGGACTGTGTTTTTTAAACTGTGCTGCCCTAGTGACACTTTTACATGTTGCAAACACTTTAAATATAGAAGTTTCTGATAATTTTCCCTCTTTAAAAAAATTATTGATGTATAAATAAAAGCTCATTTTCATTTCTGAATATTTTCCTCCCCTTCCCTCTATCCAGCAAGTCATCCATGTAATAAAAAACTTTAAAAGCGGGGAGAAAGCAGTTCATAAAAACTAACACACATTGACCAAATCTGACTGTATGCAATGGTCCACACCCATAGTTCTCCACCTCTGAAGGGAAGGGAGCAAGGTATATTTTTGTGCCAAGGTACCAAGCTTGGCTATTGTAACTAATGAGAATTTGGTTTTGTTTTGTTTTTTCCATGTACAGTTATCCCTTTACAGGGATAAGGGACAGGGGTTAGGGACACCATGATGTGGAAAATCTACCTAAATTGTTTTGGCTCTCCCTTCAAACCAGAGAAGAAGTCTGAATTATTATGATATTAAAAGATAAAATATGTTGATATTATACAATACTATACATATATTTTATACATTTCTGAATTTCTAAGCTTTTTTCTGTGTCGTTTGTGTATTGTCTTTGGCTTCCCCAAAACTCCCCAAAAATTCCCTTTTAATTTCTTATGACAATCCGTGATATATCAAAACTGCAGCAGGGAAAGTCATGATGTAAAAGGGATAACTGTATATTAATGTAGTCATTATGTATATTATTTTCTTAGTTCTGCTTCCTTTGCCCTACGTAAGTCACATAAATCTTCCCATGCTTCTGTGAATTCTAAATAGTCATCTTTTCCTATGGAGAAAAGATGTTCATGTATCGTGATACATTCATGTATCACAGTTTGTTGAGCTATTCCCCAGTTGATGGGCACCTACTTTGCTTCCATTCTTTGCTACTTCAAAAAGTCTGCTTTCCCCACCCCACCCCCACCCCCAATCCACCCCATTCCCTGTTTAAGAAATACTTAGTGAAGAAATCTTTTCCCATTATTATGTATGTATGCCAGCATTGCTTATTCTGATGTACTAGGTAGGCACCTTTTTTGAAAGTGGTGAAGAAGAAGCTTATAAATGAGACTAAAGATCAGTGCCATGGAGTGAAAATTTCCCAGGAACTAGGGTGTCTTCCTGAAATTGAGGCTTTCTTGGAATAAGTAAAACAGGTGGTAGTTTCCTGACTTGGTTTAGTCAGGGATGAACGTAATTATATGTATTCATTCTCCCCACACCCAACTGACTCAAGAGAACCTAAAGAAAATTGCAAACCTCTAGGTGCTGGATTTGATATGGAGATTAAATATTTAATTGGAATGGTAAGCAGGAGCTTAGTTAAATAAGATGTCACTTCTCAGGTGACTACTACTATGGGAAATTTACCTGTAACAGAAATGATCAAGGTACTTTTTGACCCCCAGTGATTAAACTAACTTTACCATCTACATGGTAAGGTTCCCTTCCTACATAAGATCAGGAAAACACATGTGATTTTATATTTTCCAAAAGGAGCTAATGACCTGCATGCATGATAACCAGGGATCTGAGCTAAGCATTCTCTTGTGAACATCTAGTGGTTGTCTGTGGTTGTCATGTTTGGGGGAGCACCCTTTGGCTTGGCTCAGGCCCCCTTGATGTTATCTGCACGTACACCTCAAGTTGCTAGGCTTCATTTCCCTGACAGGAAATGGGACTGAGTGGTTACCATGAGGTACTTGAGGACTACATGTGCATTGTGGTAATCACAGGTTTAGGGAATGAATGGAAAAAGCCTCCTTTTCCCAAGTCCTTTACCACTTCTTTTCATTGTTTTACCCAAGCTGAATCATAATAGTTTCAGGGGGTCCTTAACAGGTGTTTAATATTGGGCAAGACATGTAACTTTTTCAAATTTCCAGTCTTTCATTTGTAACACTTGATGATGCTTTGGGAGTTAATATGGTAGAGGGCAGTGGTATTAAATAGAAATAGGGACCACAAAACTGTGTTAACATGAGCTATGTTTATTGTATTTTTATTTATTTTGTTAAATATTTCCCAGTTATATTTTAATCTGGTTCTGGTTGCACTCAGGAGTGTTATGGGTCTTCTGTCTGATGCCTCTGGAAGAGTAGATGGGACACTGGGCTTGAAGTCAAAAGATAAAGGTTCAAATACTGCCACAGACACTCACTATGTTATCCTGGGAAGTCACTTCACTGTGCCTTAGTTTCCTCATGTGTAAAATGAGGGAGTTGAACTTGACAGTCACTAAGGGCCCTTCCAGCTCCAAATATATTATACTATTATCCATTATTCTATGACTTATTTTCATTAATAGATATTGGACATTTCTGACAGTTCCCCACTGGGACAGTACATCAGATATTGTGTATTTCTGCCAAAAGTGGTTCTTAAAGTAGAATGAAAAAAACTCAATTCTCAAGAAATGTGTTCAATGTCTTAGTCATTCTAAAATGAAAGTTTTAGTTAACCTCAAAAAAGAAAAAAAAGATTTGGGGTTTAGTTGGATGATACTTTTAAAGAATTTTGGAGTTTTTTTTTCTTTTAATACTTTGTATAGCTTACTGTTAGTATAAAATGTAAAGATTTTAGAAACAACATTAAGAGAAAAATTATTTTCAGACTTCCTTGATATATTTTCTTAGATCTTCTTAAATATAATTTTTAAAAAAACCCACAGCTAAACTGGAGGCTTTTAGATCTACCTATTGCACACGACATCCCACTTCCTCCCTCTAGCCCAAGCATACTTTATGTCAGTCATACCATACACGCAGGAGGCTCCCAAAGTAGAATTGGGCTATCAGAGTCCTGTGACTTTAGTGAGAGTTGTAGGACCACAAAAGTTGTCTTTATTTTACCTTGAATGCAATTAGTTGGAATGGAATAGGTAAAATGGGGTTGTTCTTATGTTCTCTGGTTGGTCCTTGAATTCATAGGGTCATAGCTTTAGAACTTGAGGCTTGGGCAGGTCAAATCCGTCAATCAACATTTAATTAGTGCCTACTACATGCCAGGTACTATGTTCAGTATTGAGGATACACAAAGATAGAAATGACTTGCTTAAGATAACACCGGGTGAAAGTAACAGCTGGGAGTTCAGTACTCTTTCCACTGAACCACATTTCTTTGTTAATTGCTATGAATATATAAGCTTAATTTTTAATCTCCCCCACTCCTTACCACCCCTCCGGTTCAAACTTTGTAAGGTATGTAATGCTCCCAGACATGCCCTAACTTGCGGATTAAAGTACTTAAGTTCTGAAATCTGATTGCAGGGATTAAGAAGATCCAAGAAGTTTCCAGACATACTGATGGGCTCTGTTGGTGAGCTCTGCTATCCCACCATGACGATGGAAAAATCAGCAACTGGAGAACTCACCTTGGCTCCTTTGGTCACTTGCAAGCTCTGTCTTTGTGAATATTCTCTGGACAAGATGACCACTCTGCAGGAATGTCAGTGCATCTTTTGTACGTCGGTAAGTTCCCTTGACCATTTGATCAAAGCAACTTTTAGTGCAATTTTGAGCAGGGACTTCCGAGGCCATCTTGTTGCTACCTGAACTGAGTTCTTCTGGGATAATCTCCATCTGAAGTCCTCCAGTGAAGGGAAGTTCCTTGCCTTACAAGGTAGCCCATTCCACCTTCGGGCAGGTTTGACTATTAGGAATAACAAATTTTTAGGAGGATGTGTTCTTAGCAGTGGGATCTCACCTACCATATTAGTGTCTAAATCTTTTCTTCCAGGTTCCTTTTTGCTAGAATACTAAAAAACATTAGTCTTGCTTATTAAAACAACCCTATATAGAAAACCTTTTTTTCCCCAAATATTATTGTGAATGGCAAACCAGAAAATGTATACATATATATATGAGAAAAGTGTGGCTTAGTGGATCAAATGTTAACCTTGGAGCCAAGAAGACCTGGGGTTTTCAAGGAACATATTGGCTATGTGACCTTGGGCAAGTCACAACCTCTCAGTGCCCTAAGCACATCTCTAAAATGGAATTGCAGAGAGTGCTGAGTGACATTGGTAAAGGGAGTGTCCTCATGCTAGAGTTTCCTACAATGAAATCAGAGGTCTAGTTCCTGTCTTCTCTCTTTGTCTCTATTTTTCTCTTTCTCTGTCTCTTTGAATTGACCTAGACATATTAAAAAACCCTGTCTTTGGAAAAATGTCACCTCTAGGTTGGATGAAAAAAGCAAAATGTCTCGGTTCTTAAGTCCTTAGTCTAGGGGATAAGTATACTACATAGATACTGAGTTATAAGATGCAAAAAGCATGGTTAGTAATCAGCTTGTCTGAAAAGTATGTGAAAGTTTTAATGTTCTGTATCTTCAGTATAAGGGAGCTGCACCTCTTGAGAAGGAAGCAGCTTCTTCTCCTCCAAGTAATGACGTTGTAGATCCACAGGTGTTGTCAGGTGAGAGACAATCCAATAAGGGTGAGATGAAGAAGAAGTAAACAGTGGAGGGTTGGTGACTGCCATCTGAGAGTTACTGAAACAACAATTTATTTACCTGATAACAATAATAGAGAAGCCTGATGTTTTACTGGAACATGTTTCATGGACAGGTAGGAGAATCTTCCAAGACTTGTCAACAGGATGACTACTTCCGCTGATATCTTTGGGCAAAATCAATAGCAATAGAGGGAATTTAGAAATCATTGTTAAATATTATGACATTGTAGGTAAGAAATTTAAGATCATAAAGCTCAAGTAATAATATTCATCACTGCAATGAGTAGAATTAAGGTCAAGGGCTTAAAAAAGGGAGGGATCAGAATTGAGAAGTGAACATCTATTTAAGAAGATGAAGTATGAAAATGAGAGTTGGACTTCTGACCATGGCTTAAAAGATATTAATGACAGGCCCCTGTTCAGGGATGGAGTATACTAAAAAGGAATGGTAAGAAGATATTGTTTAGAATCTTAGAAATTTTATCTAAAAGACTTCAAAGTAAAAAAAAAAAATAGGAAAGCTGTCTATATATATTTACCAAGCAATTTACCAGAGAGTAGCTTCATTGTAGGAAGAACACCAGTAGAGACACCCAAAAGTTTACAAGATGCAAAATCCAAGAAAGGAACCGGCAATTAAACCTGTTATCTCAGATGTCTAAATAGGAAGTCTGAGTAACAAGCAAGGTGACATAGAGATCTTAACCCCATAGGGATTTCTGAGACTTTGGGGATGAGACTTTTCACTGGAATATGGCTTTTGAAGAATATGTATTTATCTAAAGAAATAAGGTAGGTAAAATGTGTGAGTAAGGCAGAGGAACTCTATGTATTTGACAAAGATCCGTGTTAGGAAATCTAAACACTGAAGTTGGAAGAGCATTTGACTTAATATCAACAGAGGCAGGAATGAATGGATGTTGTCATTGGAATATCCTATGGAGCAGTGGTCTCCAAAATGGGGGGAGGGGGTAGAGAAAAGGCATGGCTTCTAGAGGGCCCATGGCTTAACTCCAAGGGCTGATCCACTAATTTATCTACCAGTCAGAGATTGGGAAGACAAGTGGCAAAGGTGGGGCCTACCTCCAACAATCATTATCTACCCTTATTCTCCAACATTCCCCCACTCTGCCCTCTCTTTCCTGTGCAAGTTTTCATCTTCTTTCATTCTAAGCTGGACATCAGCTCAGATGATGTTCCCCTGATAGCAGTGGTAGGTGTGCCTCAGAGGACAGGTTTTACTTTTAGCAGAAGTAACTATTGAGGAAGATCCTGGCCTCTCCTCCCCAACTTTTCATTTTTGGTGGCCCATAGAGTGGCCAGGTTGGGTGAGTTGGATGAGTTCTGATATGGATCACAGGTATCATTACATTATCTTCCCACCCTATCCCCACCCCCAACTCACCCCTCTTTCAAACTTCCTTATCCCTGTTAAGCTCACCACCATTTTCACTTCCAGTCCCTTTGGGTTTAGCAGCTTCCCAGTCATCTTTGACTCTCCGTCCTCATATCCAAATAGTTGCCAGAGCTTGCTGTTCCTCTGTATCTCTCTTGTATATCTCCTTCTATCTAGTGACACAGTCACCACCCTATCTTAAGCCCTCGTTACTTCTCACTAGAACTATTGTAATAACCTCCTTATTGATCTCTTTTCCTACAGCTTTCCCCTACTCTGATCCATCCTTCCGCACCTTTCCTTAAGCACAAGTCTGACCGAGTCACACCCCCTGCTCAATGAATTTCAGTGACCCCTTATTGACTCTGGGAGCAAATGTTATTTATTTTTTATCTTATCCTTTTAACATTTCTATTTTAATCTGAATTTTATAATGTACATAGATATAATTTATGAATAAGTAAATCTACACATTGGGGCCCCATGCTCAAAATTTTTTTTTTATTGATAGTGCTATGTGATTTAAAATGTTTGGAGATAATTTCTATGGAAAATCTATCTGAATAATTAAGTGAATGAGGAATTTGGGAAATATGAAAGAGATCACAAGTCTCCTGTGGAGGCACACGACACAATAATAAGGGACTTTATCTTGAAATTCGTTTAAACTTTCTTTGCCCAAAACCAAACAACTAATCATTTATTGACTTGCTTTGATTATAGTTTCTTCCTCCAACAGGCAGAGGAACAAAAAAGTAGAACTATTTATTTTGGATCTAATTCTCCTCAGTAAAGAGGAACTGTTTACTATTGTGCGGTGGAGCAGAGAAGTGACCACTTCCTCATTGGAAAAGAAGAAGAAAACCAGGCATAGCCAGGTTTTTGGAGAGCAGATTTGAAAGAGTTCATAGAAAGGATAGGTAGGGTCCCATGGCTTCAGCTTTTACAAGGGAGGTCAATTCAGGAGAGATGGAAAATTCTCCAGATTGAGATTTTGAAGATATTAAGGGAGGTATACTATTTAACTGGAAGGATGAGAGTCTCATTGGAAATGTTTATTAGCCTGGAGAAGTATTGTTTGAATTTTACCTGGAAGAAAAGATGCTTTGGGCAAGTCGCTTAACCCCAATTTCCTAAAAAAAAAAAAAAAGATGCTTAATCATTCAACAAGCATTAAGAGCTTACTATGTGTCAGACACTGTGCTAAGGGTTGAGAAAGGCAAAAGAAAGGCAAAAGCAAGGTCTCTGCCCTCAAGGAGCCCATATTCTAATGGAGGATGCATCATACAAAAAAATAGTATCTAAATGATATATACAATTTAAGTATATGTATCATTTCCCTCAAAGAGAAGGCATTAGCAGGGCAAAATGGGTTGAGTCGGGGATGGGGACCAGGAAGGCCTCCTGAAGACGATGAGATTTGAACTGAAGTCTTTTAGGAATCTAAAAGGTGGAAGTGAGGAGGGAGAACATTCTAGGCTTGGGGGACATTCGGTGAAAAGGGACAGTTAGGAGACAGATTGAGTACAATGAACAGTAAGCAAGGCCAACGTCCCTCGATTATAGACAACATGGAGGGGAGTGAAGATTACAGATTGTGAAGGGATTTAAGAGGCAAACAAGGGCTTTTGTATTTGATCCTGGAGGTAATAGGGAGCCACTGGAGTTTGAGTTGAGGGTAACATGGTCAGATCTGAGCTTTAGAAAGATTACTTTGGCATGAAGGATGGTTTGGGATGGGGAGACTTGAGGCAAGGAAACTAACTAGAAGGTTATTTGATAATCTGATAAGGTCATGTACCATAGAGGCAGCTGTGTGAGGGGAGAGGAGACCTATATGAGAGATGCTGTGAAGGTAGATACAGCAAGGCTTGACAACAGATCAGTCAAGGATGACACTGAGATTGCAAGCGTGGGTCATCATTCTAACATCATGCCTTGACAATAATAGGGGAGTTTGAACGTGGGGAGGGTTTGGGGGAATAATGAGTTCTCTTTTGAACAAGATGTCCAAGAGGCAACTGATTGGGACAGTCTCAGATTTTCTATGTTCTTCCAGTGTTTGCATTATCATAATGCTTTTCTATTCCTTGAAACAAAAAAAATCTTTCTGACTTACTAAAATCAGAATGGAAACTTTTTCCAGGTCTTACAGATACCTAAAGCAGGAAGTAGAATTCATGTTTTGTGATGAGACTTAACCATGTGGAGTTGAAAGCAATGTGAAATCTGATTAAGTTGATTCTGGTTATATAAAGTAGAAACTATGCTGTATTGTAACTTAGGTTCTCACCGGGTAACAATGATACTTATTCTGTTTTCATAACCGCCTAGTTCCTTGTTTTTTTTTTTTTTTTCAAAGCAACAGAATTGCTTCCTAGTTTTACTTCAGCAGCTTGGGGGTGGGAGCTTGTGAAATTAGAATATTTGATGGCCCAGCTTCAGACATTAGAGTACTTCCTTCTCATTGTTGAAAACTCAGAATCGATTTATCCTTTTTTTTACTTCTTCTTGGTGTTCTTCCAGCTGAGAAATTGCTGTATCTATAAAAAATTAACCTTTCCTTATTCCTCCTATAACCTGTTCTCCTGCCAAAAGTAAGTGCCCATCAATTGGAGTG